ATTAACATTACATCCCGTGGTGATTCATTATTCGGTAGTGTTAATTAAAACAATGGTGTCTGATACCGGCCTTTAACAGCCTGTACACGTCTCAGCTGACTGCACAGCTAATGCTAGTCGTAATCACGACTTATATGTGCTGTATCTACAGTTCAGCTTTCGATCAGAATAGCCATATTGCAAACTCCGGCAAAACCATACTATTTACGATCACATTTATAATGCAACAGCAAATATATTTTACGTTGAAATTTTAAACTAAGAATGACAGATGCTGCCGGGAGTCTGGAAATGTTCCATGAGGATTTCCAGTGAGCGAGTACTTATCCATTATTGCCGGGACCATTTATTTCAAAATCCATAGTCAATTTTGTGTTAATTACCGCAGCACAAAGGATCGCGGTGTCCCCTGAGCGTTTTTCACACCCAAGTACTCAATAGGAGCAACGAGCCACCCTGTGATGCAGCCTGCTAGCTTTTTGTTTAATTATACAGCAGCTAATACAGTCATAGTAGGGGCCAAGGATGTGGAATCCTAGTAATTAACTGCGCGGTCGCACAAGACTAGTAGTTGACATGGAGGCCTTACGCGATGTCACCGTCGAGACAATGTCTGACATTGAGACGGAGATAGAAGATGCCGACCTAGAGGTCGACTCGACGGCAACGGCCGACCTTCTGGCAGAGATGGAAGACATTAAGGTAATGTATCACTGTGTGTTTGTTGGGAAAATGATGATGTTATATGTGTATGCCTAGAAAAGGGTCTGCTCTGACAGAATGGGTATTGTCACGCTCCCGTGCTTTGTGTTAAAGCAGGTTGCGACTGGAAAAGCACTGGTAATAATGAGTGCATGTTTCTTTCACACAGTATACATCTGCTTGATAAACCTTATAATTTCACTCATTTGAATGGAAAGACTTCTGGTTTTTTAGTTGTAATATGCTGGTGAGGACATTTAACGAGGCAGAGAAAAAAATCCTCTAAATTCTAATGTTTCCCTCCAAGAGAGGGAACACCTCTCAAGTAAGCTTAATTTAGATTAGAAGATACCCTATATGTATGTATCCTACATGTACATGTAAGTACTGTTTGAAGACAATGTAATTGGCCTCTTTGATGTCAAAGACTCTGTAATAAGCAAGTGCGTACCATTTCCATGACTGGGGGTAGTAATTTATTCAAGAGCACTGAAGCAGGGGCATAGAGGATGATGATGTCATACATATTTTGGAGACAAAGCCAAGGGTGGGAAAAGTGATGTGCACAGCTGCTGGATTTGCTACTGAAGCTGTGAGACTGAGAGTATCGTTGGTTGCCTTGATCCACAAATGTGAGCTGGAATGGCCGTGGTGCTGCAGCTGGTGTTATCATCACCATGGCAACTGCAGAACAGCCCCAGTCTCCTGTACACAGAACAAGACAAGGACCATGGGTGATTAATGGGGGGGGGGTCTTTTTCAATTACAATTTTACAGATATACACGAATCTCTCAGAGCTCAAACAAGTAAAGAAAACAGTATAGAAACACAGTTCACATGAACCTTTACTTATCCTTATTCATAGTCTTTTGTAGAGCTACTTAAACATTAGAAATACTATTAAGAAAGCCCTTTAAAAAGTCTCTTTGAGTTAACTGAATCAAATGTCAACAACCAAACCTAGAAAAGAAACTGTATACTTCGTAAGTATAGTCAAAGTACACTTGTTATGGTACCTGTTCCTTAGCTCTTCAGCTCAGAGTTATCAGAGCATGTCGGTGTGTGTAGTGTCTGTTTTGACATGGTCCTGTCATCACTTATCCACTCTCTTATCGCTAAACCAAAATGACAACATCAGTTCTAGCAAGGAGGTTATAGTGGTTCTAGCTAATGGCTTGTAAGTTTTTCCTTCTGAAACATATGTTCTTGACAGTGTGTACTTCACTAAATGTGGGTCATACTGATGTCCTAGGGTGCCTGAATGGCTGCCAAAGTGTGGTATCAGTTTGTGTTGGCTGTAAATACAAGGTAGAGCATCCCCAAACAGTCAAAAGAAAGCCAGCATGTCTATATTTGGAAAGATTGAGGAGATGGAATGTTTGTTTTGGGAAAATATACCGAGATTTTTTCTCCATCTTTCTGTCTTGCTTTTCAATCTTATATCATTTCAAACTTGAATGCAAAGTCCTTTCTGTATTTTTTTTTCTGTGTGTACTTTTTACTTCAGTTTCGCAGGTGCATGCCTTTAACTTTTTAAGATTTGCACGTCCGGTCTGATGTAATTTTCAGCTGTGTTGTATGAAATGATGGGTTTCATATTACCGTATAGAGTATCCTAAATTCCAGGATGTTGCATTGGAAGTGGAACACAAGTACACAACACAGTTTTCAAAAGACATAAGAGGAGTTGTCATTATACAGCCCTTGGCCATATTCGAGACACGGACACCAGCAGCAGAATAATCAAATCCTGGATAGTTGAGTGAGTGTGAGTGATAATTGAGGGTCACGCATTGTTCCAAAAATCTGGGGGTAAATAATAACAGTGGAAGACATGTATGAGGGCCTGCAAGGGGGGTAGTGATTACGAATTACGCAAAATTTTCGCCGACGATTACGAATTACGTTAAAGTCTCAGAGCTGATTACGACTTTGCGATTTGCGGCGAATATCCAATTACGAATTACGTTGATTTTTGCGGAGGCTGCCTACGAATTACGAAGTCTAAAACGGCCTGATTACGCCTTACGAAAAAGGGCTTGCAGGCCCTCATGTATGCTACTGTGATGGTTACCGTAGTTGATAAAAATATTACACAAAAAAGTATTCAACAGTTTGTATAGTTACTAGAAGTCTGGGGACTTTATCCAATTACATCATTATGAACTGTCACTGCAAGCTTTTCTCTGAATAGGAACATAGCTGAAGGGGGCTACCGTATGTCACTCAAAAAGGGCCAGAATACCACCTCTCACTCAGTAAACAATTAGATTGAATAGAAAATTGCTCCAGGGCTGACTCTATGAGATTACATGTACAATAGAAAATTGAAACAGATGAAACAGATGTCACCTAGTTCTAGATGATTGTGTCTTATTCTCGTTCAGTTTTTTGGTCCCTATATACAAGAAATTAATTTTTTTTCTCATTCTTCATACTAGTAACATAAAGGAAATCTTCCACACAAAAGCTTGATGTTCCCACTGTAAGACTATACCCCTGTTCACCTGTACTTCTCACGATTTTCACAGTACTTTACATGCCTCTTGTGCCATGCTGCTTTGTCACCTAGCAACAAGCATCAGTTGCCAGGCGACAGGGATTGGTTACTAAGCAACAATGATGCACCATAGAATAGCAAGGATAGTTTGCAGTACAATATGCTAGTTTAACCCTTCATGAAGTTAGCTGTCATTGTCAATGTTCATTTATAACATAGTAATGCGTTAGATTTAGAGAAACTAAATATTTTATCTCATTCAGTACTGTGAAATATTTTGTTAGCCTTTTTCCACTTTGTACTTGATTTTGTAAATTTATAATGGAAAGTGGGCAAGCTATAATGAACAGTAGTGATCTTGCCCTGACTGCTCATTGAATTACCACAGCAGTAAGCCAGGGAAAATACCCTTGTTAATAATTTACTGGGTAATGAGCAGTTCCTCTATCATGAATGGCACACATCATATCCCTTTATAGTGCTGTCATATTGGGTATTGGTAACGTTGCTGTCAAATGCACAAAGATATCTAACTTCTGCCAGGCTTCAGAAGCGGCTGGAAAGAGTAAAAATTGGCCAGATAGACAGATAACATGGCAGGGGAGTTGTTCCACTAAACTTTGCTACTCTCTGAAGCCCGGTAGAGGCAAACTGTACTCCTTTAGTGGACCAACAGGCTTTAAACCTTTGTTTTTTTAAAGAACTTATTTGATTTTCAAGCATATGCAGGTTTAATTTTCCAAATTGGAGGCTGATGGAATTTTGCCAGGGTTGGTTTATCCAAGTTTGATACCTCATCAATAAGTAATCATCTCATGAATAATTAATCGATTAACAGGTGGTTACCACAAAAGTTGTAAATCCTGTACCTGGCACACAGTCAATGATTTTATTGGTATAAATACCAAAGGGATGCTTGTAAAACCATCTTGAAAAGTATTCAAAGCCTGGTAAATTTTTCATTTGAATTTTTGCATACTTTTGTTGGAGTGTGCTGTACTGAAAAGTAGCACATGCATTGGAGCATCCAGTGTTCATTTCACCTTTTTGACACGCACTAGTTACGTTGATAGTGCAACCTTTGTTTGCATTTGAAAGGTTAGATAAATGTAAATATGTTTAACATACAGGATCTTGTACTCTGGAGATTTGACTAAAAATAGAACAGTCCCAAGTTCATCGACCGGGTTTAAATCTCTTGTTCACGTGGACAAGTTTTTTGTTCAGGTTTTTCTAGATGTTTACACATGATTTCTATACTTTCTCAGCCGGTGTACTTGACCTGATTGTTGCTTAGACGTCCCGGCTGTTTCTACGACAGGTTGTTTGAAGTCTGTATTTGCACACCCACAGACTTGACTCAGCAACGTGACTGCTGCAAGTTTCTCAGCTATAGCCGCCCCAAACCTTCACAAAGCTGTATGTGCTTTTTGGATTTACAGAATTGACACCTGAATTGCAACATGTAATCCTGTTGGGACGGTTTTGTTTGCATGTCCCCTACCTTTAACTCGCCCGTCCAATCAGATGGCTTTAGTCATGAATATTAAGTAGGCACAGGGGTTAGGTTTTGCTGGTGTGAATGGCTTTGAGAGGACCCCCCATGGAGGAGGGACGCTATGGGTTGTCCCGGGCCAGCCCGGTATTTGCATAATGAATACACCTGTCTTAGGTGACCCGACGCGCTGAGAATGTAGTGTTATGTTTCCTAGCATTGTTTCGCCGTTTACTTTTCAATGGTAACAGAGACGCGTAAGGGGTAGTGGCATAATTAACGCGGGTACAACCCTCTGGTTTGATTCAGAGTGCTCGGTGGACAGCTAGTGCCGACAACGCAGAGCTGCCAAAATGAGCGAGGAACTGTCAGCATCAGGGTTTGTGAGGAAGCGAGTGCAGCGGGCAAGTAGCACACACACTCAGGAACACTCCTGTGCCGCTATCCTGTCAGAATGTATTGTACTTAGTGTCACATGTGAGATGAAAGATTGTAAGCCAGAGTACAGGAACTCGTAGGTACCAGAGGTCGAATGCTTGGAAACATTTCTGACAACATTTACTGCATCTACCCACCTAAATTTTCGAGGTTCCAAAGTCTGTACATAGAAGTATTAATCCTGAGATTTGCAAAGCAGGAACTTCAGTTATACCTTAGCAATAGGCATCTATACAACTTTTTGTTTACAAGTTGGTAAGGCCCTATTTTAGAGCAGGAAACGTGATACAGTAATTTGTTATGAAGCTTGGTGATGCTAGGCTCACCTTTTGTAGTGATAGGTGGCCTTCAGGTTGTAAAAGGACAATGACTTTGACTTAGTAAGCTAGGGTCACGCAGGAGTGTAGCTCACACCAGGTCAGTTCTCGGACAGTGAAAGCGTAGCTTAGCTTCTTAGCACAATCCCTCTCCAAACACGGCAAGCTGCCCAAATGTTTTGTGTTGGTAAAACGATCGATATCCCACGCCGGGGCATCAGATTTTAAGAGCCCTTTGCCTTTAAAAGGACTGTGCTAAAGCTACAGCTATTTCATGGGCTGTACTTCAGTTAAAAGTGCAAAGAAGAAATTTCTTAGGTCAGACAAAAAGGTTAGCTGTGTATTTGTTGGCTTCCCTTTTAACTGTGGTAGTATATTTTCTGTCCTTTGCTGAAATACCAGCTCCATATAATATACAGAAATTTGGCAGGTTGTTAGAATATGATGATATGACAGAACTTCCTCAATATGCAAGAGATAAAAGAGGAAATAAATATCAGAAAACCTGAAAGTTCTTAATCTATAATATTTAGCATGCTGAAGTAGCTGTTTGGCTAGTAGCAATTGTCTCTTGGTTATGGGGTTAGGCGGCAGGGGGAAGGATTACATGTACATGGACATACATGAGGAAGATTTGTTTGAAGGTTTCATTTTAAGTTTCTTATTATTTTTATCCATTTACCAAGACATCAGTGTGAGGGGAGCAATAATTATAACTTAATATTTCTTTTGATTTTCAACACTTTTAGCTTGAGAGATTGTTTCAAGTGAAAGGAGGTGCACCACTCTCAAATGAGGAGGTATAAGTTCTTCCTTAGATGTTGTTTCTGGCATTCATTTTCTATACTAAGTCTTCCCTGAACATTAAATTCACTGTAAATGCCCCAAATTGCTGTTTTCTATGGTATGCTTTTTCTTTGACACTAGTATTTTATTGATGCTATCTTGCATATTAAAAGTCTTCTGAATTTAACAAAAACTTATACCTTTTAAGTTACACATTATCGGTAGAGTAGTATGTGTTTTGTTGATTTCTCTTTTGGATTTTATAAAACTTTTTTGCTGTGACCTAACAGTGTGTTAACTCTCTTGTTCACTGTGCATTGCATGCCATAGTTGGAACAGGAAGGCATGGAGACATGGGAGAACCCATGGGAGAAAATCTCCACGGTAACAGTTTCCATAGCAACAGCATAGCCGCCGCATGTTTCAGTAATGTAGTAGACTTAGATGCATGCCTGGGCATTTTGCATGGCACCTGCGATTCGATTACATGTAGCTCTAGATCATAATACAAAAATATTTTCTTAAGTATGTAGAGACTTTATAATTAGCATCGATCTATAAGATAGCGATCTTGATTCTGTACAAACAAATTATAACAAATCCTACAATCAAACATAAAATTTACTCTGGTAAAAGTTCAAGTATAATTCAAACCAGGAAAGAACTGCATGGTAATTGCAATGTAGATGATTAGAAAAATTAGCACCTAGTCACATCTCTTACTTGTATTTTAAGCCATTTCACAGACAGTAATGGTAGTGATATTTTATAGACAACCATGTTCTAATCTTCTTTCCACATTTCACAATAAATTCTAGCTTGAAAAAGCCTTGGAATTTGAAAGTACCTACCACAAGAAGGCACGAGAACGGATTTCAGCGGTAAAAGCTTCATTAAAAATGCATCTTGTTGAATTTTCCCATCTATACTCTCTTTTTGTGATGCCTTGTTTATGTAGGGATTATGTGGTGAAGGCCAAAAGTCTCGTGATGTTTACTTTTTGTGCTTAAATGGCAGACGATGGTGTTGGTCTCTAGATTTTAAATGTTGATACGTTGCTCTCAGAAAGCTTGGTTGCATCAATACAATATCATACAATTTCAGGAAAACTTGTCATGTAGAATTAATAATAAATAATATATAAGAATGCAAACTTCAAGGAAAAGACTTCAACAAGATGAAACAGAATAATGTGTAGCTGTTATAATTATAATATATTCTTACTTCATGTTGTTGGCTGATATAAAAGCAATTAATTCTTCAATAAAATACCTCAGGTAATGATATTTATAGCAGTATAACAAATGGATTAGGTTGGCTATGACATTGGTCATTGTGTTCTCTCGATGAAGTTGAACGAAGTTTTGAAGGGGATGGAAAAAGAGTCACTAGACAGGACAATCCTGGATCTGAGGAACCAACAGTTGCAGGAGATGCTGGCTGAGGTAATGGAAACATAATTGTGTGTCATAAAAATCCACAAATTATATATTTAGAATAATTCAATTTTTGCTTAGAAAATAATGTAGTGGGCATTTAACATCTGTAGTCTACCTTGCAGTTGTAGGTAATAAAGGAACCCATTATGGCATTCAGTGCATGAGTATTAAATCGTCTATGATATTGCATAATAGTAAGTTTCAACACAATTTAGATGTAGCTTGTACAAGTTGTAGTTGTACTTCAGCTACTAGGTTGGTTTTATATTAATGAAATTGAAATCCAGTGACACTAATTGTGAACTTATGCTCTGTGGACAGTTGGAAAAGGAATACTTGCTTGTCTGTGATGACAAGAGTCAGGAGTGTGCTGCTCTGACTGCTGAGAACACTATGCTACTAGTACAACAGAACTCTTCTCCAGGATCAGCCTAGTAAATACCGTCTTTGATATAGTCCCAGTGTTGTCTTTCTTTCACTAAGCTCAAGCACTACATGTAGCTTAGTCACAACACATTTATTATCTATTTACAGTAAATCAGTGACAATGCCTAATCATGCATCACTATGAAAATGCGGATTAATGAAAAAAGTGAATTTTAGGTTAAGAGAGACACTGACTCCTGCTCACATCTAACCCGTAGTTAGAAAAGGAACACAGTGATAAGAAGATGTTCCAACAAGAGTGCAAGAACCTCACAACTAAGACTGCTCAGCAGCAGCAACAACTTGAGGAGGTAATTAAAAGCTACAAGACATTTATCAGTTCCTTCAGATGATGACTTTCCCCTTTTCCTTTCATCTATTCTGTCTATCAACCATATTCAACAATCTTTTCCTTCTCTTGTGTCTGACATAGCTGAGAAAGCAGAAGGAAGACTTGGAAGACAAAAGACACGAGTTAGAAACTAACAAATTTCAGCAAGGTGTTCTGGAAGAAAGAATACGAGAGGTACATTTGCTGGCTTTAATGATACAAATCATCATTTCTCATTCCTCAAATTTGAACTATAATATAGGATTTTTGATTTTTTTTTAATCTACTGAGATTGCAGCAAAGAACAGAACACGTAATGCCTAAATGGTCTTGAATCTATTTTAGTTGGAACATGACTTGGAGAAGAATGGGAAAGAGATGGAGGAATCGACAAGACTCAGTAAAGAGTTGCAGGAAAGAGTAGACGAGGTACATGCAACCAAAGACCTTTGGCATTATACTGTAGCTTAGCATTTCCGCTTGTCAATGTATGTTCCTGTAGATTCAGAAATTCTCAGTAACTAAGTATGTCAACTTCAGTATACTTTAGGTTGCTAGGGACCCATGGTCACAGTAGAGGTACATTGTAGGCCCAGTCTATATTTAGAGCCGAGATGCCCAGCACAGGCCATTGACTCTGTAGGTTTGTATGTGCAAGGCATCTTATCCTCCCTTGGCTGGGTCTCAATATCCTATAGACACAGGGCTTAACCTTCTACGCGCTTTAGTCTGAAGGACTTTAAAGTTACGCCTGAGGAAAAGACACCCTTGTGCCGCTGCTATGTCAAAGGCTTTGGTTAAAGCTACGGTTCAAAGCCTCAGGATTCAATTTAAAGGGTAGTGCTTTAAAGTCATCTGCAGGAATGTAGTGTACTTTTTGTAGCTTAAAAAATGTCCCATTCTATAGACCTTCTCTTAGTCTTAGTCTCAACTTCAGAACCCATTGTAAAAGCAATCCACAACAAAATAGTACTAAGTCTGCAGTACCAGAGATTCTGTGAAAAGTTTGTAGACCTTAGATTCTGTGTAAAATCCTTGATCCTGAAGACACATTACTCAAGTATCCTTAAAGATCTTTCTTCAAGTCGTCTTAGTCCACTAAGAGCCAGTCCTTTTCTGCTGTGACTGTTTTTGTGTGTCTCAGTTGGAGCATGATCTCAGGCGCAAGACTCAAGAGTGCTGCAACATGGAGTTAGTCAACTCTGAGATAGAGGAAAAATTGGAGCAGGTTTTAACTTCATTATACACTCATTGTCTTTTACTTTCATTGCAAGCTAGTACCACCAAGTAGTCTGCCAAGTTGAATAGTAACTAGAGATTGTAAGATTTTAGGAAAATAAATTTCATGACTGTACATGCATGTGTTGTAAGGATTACATCTATTGCTGTCAGCATTCTCTTCTTGTATTCATTGATAGAAATTCCTCTCTTTTTTTCTCTCCTCAATTTGTACTAATGCCGATGACTCTTAGGTTCAGGAGAATTTTGCAGTCAGTAAGAGACAGTGCCAGTCCTTGGCATCCCAGAAAGCCCAGCTACAGAGTGTTGTAGAAGAGGTACTAACACTGCATGTACAACTTTGTCAATCAACTAACAGTGCATTAGGTATTAGGTAATGTGAAGGCATACAATATCATCATAGTATTTGATATAATTTTTTCTTAGTACTTCAAAATCTAATCAACACTGAGAAAGAAGCTTTCATGTAATGTATTTTCATTTGTATCACTAGCAAAAGTGGGAGGTTTCAGATATTAAGTAATGCACAGTTTATGTGTACAACTGTTGATATTCGATGCCTTCACATTAGCTTGTACAATCATGTTATACATGTATGTTCTTGCTTCCTTTGTTGGTTTGTAGATATTTATTAGTAGTATAGAGGATTTAGATGAGACATATTTTTTTCAGATTTTCTATCAACCTAAAAGACTCATAAAACATATCTTGTTCATCCTCAATAGACTAGGTCTTTTACTCAAAGTAGGGCAAGTAGTGTAAATTAGGTTAGGTGGAAGAGTTGATGTTGTTAAATTTAATAAAACCGTTTGAAGTTTTCTCATTGTGTGTGATAACTGAGGCACCTGTTGCTTGCTGTCCCCCCAAAGCTAGAGGTAAAAGTGGAGGAGTCCCCCCGGCAGGCCACTAAGAAGATGCTTGAACAGTATGAGGAGCTCGAGCATAGGTTACAAGAGGTGACTGATGGCTTGTACTGAATCATCATACAGGTGGCATGGTCATGGGCCCTTTTCCCTAACCTTCTAGTGACCTTCGTGGCATCGGTGGTGCAATGGTTAAAATGTTAGACTCGAAACCAATTATAATAGGTCCCGGGTTCGATACTCACCGTGGCCCAACATTGTGCCCTTGGGAAAAGCACTTTACATGACTAAAATTTTTTTTTAGTGACCTTCAAGATTTGCCCTGCTGTTTTCCATGGTTTCATTTCAGATCTGTAGTTTTGCTTAAGTTTCCAGTTTACTTCGTATAATATGTCTTTTTTTTTTGTGAAAATGAAAATTTGCACTGATGTCCTTGGTGTAACTTACACAGGAACAGGGCCCATTATCATGACTACATTGTTGCCATAAATGTATCTTTAGTTTACTTCTAGAGTATTAGTACTATTACATGTGATGTATACATTTAAACAGATAAGGGGCCATAGTCTAAGGATAGAAGATATGATAGACTGTGTGCAAATGTAGGTTCATATACTGCTAGATGGTACTTAATATGTACATGTAGTTGTAAAGTTGTAGATTCATATTCATCACTTATTGTTACAGTAGAGAATTCACCTGTTTCCTCTATTGTACTGCTATCTTCCACTTAGTGAATGTAAATGGCTTAATAAAAGAGTTCAACTTGGTATTTTTAAGCTAATGAAATAAGTTATAAACTCATTAGAAGAATAATCAAAATAACACACTCAGAATACTACCATTCATCTAATATGTTAGATCAGCTAGGATACTAAAGACAAAATTTAACCACTCAAAACAGCAAGCCAATAAACTGTCATGGCTACATGAGCCAAAATAAATGCCTCTGCTCCTGAGGCATCGCCAAAATAAATCACTCTCATCCTGATGATGAGTCTCCCAATGTGGAGGTTGCTAGATTTCGCAGAAAACCGTGACTCCCCACGCTTCCACGGTGTCCTCCCATCTCCCAATGCCTTCCTACGTTCCCGCGCTGGCCGCGATCGTGTGCGACATTTCCCGGTTTCCCACACAACCCCCCTCCCTCCTTCCTTCCCTTCGTAAAGCTGGATCAGGTGCTTAAGTGGGAGGAAGAGGTTCGGGCACAGGAGGCCGCCAAACGTGAAGAACTCGAAGTGGAGAAGGAAAGACTCTCAAACAAAATCAATGAGGTGAATATTTGTGTGCCGTCTGGGACATACAAGAAATCTGTTCTTCCTCCTGATATGTAAGAGACTGGCAGCACCCTATGTACTACCTGTACTACTATGATCCAGACTTGTACACAGTTTGGTATCCAGCTTGATGTACAAAATGTACGTACGTCTAGTATATTCATGCTAGTTACCGGAAATCTTTCTTGAAAAGAAACACTGAGTCAGACGTTTTCTTCACGATTATAGCAATGAAAATAAGTTGCAAAGGCATCCTCTTGAAAATGTTTGTAAGTTATAATGTACATAGCATGGTGTTTTTGCTATTTGGAGTTCAAGGTTTATATTCAGACAATGCATCAATTTCAACTATTTTTCCTACTAGTTGGAGTCCCAACTTGAGTGGGAGCACAATGCTCGGGAACGAACTGTTTCCGAGTTGCGCTTTGCACAAATGACAATCGACAAGAAACAGCTCAAAATACAAGAGGTATATGTTTGTGTGCTTCTCTGTGTGACTGTCTCTTTTCAACATCAATGCAAAGACATTCTCTGACCAGTAAATACAATGATTTAAATGCATTACAACCCCTCCAACTCGAGCTCTGTCCTGCAACTTTGCTACATAATGTGATCAAACATCACTTTGAATGATTCAAAGCTACATAATACATGGGAAAGGCATTTTATAGTCCTATGTGACTGAGTCACGTGTAGTGAGGCTTACGGTATATCTCTTCCTAGTTGGAAAAGATCATTGACGGACAGAACAAGGAAAACCAGAGGAATGTACGAGAAATTAACTCCATGAGGCATGATATCGAGGGCAAAGAGGAGGAAGTCAAGGAGGTATCCAAGAAAATTTACTTCTTTCCCCTTTAAAAGTGATACAGTAACTTTATTTGATGTTGTGTGGCAACTAACATTTGAATATTTTGTGTTAAACGTTGAGATACAGTTTGGAATCCAAATATGAACAACACATTACTCAAAAGAAGATGTATTGACAGCATTTAAAATCTTGCATGAAACTTTAAAGTATATAACTCGACGTCATTGTGTACCACCCGAACCCTTTAGTTGGAACAACAACTTTCCCAGTGTGGACAGGAGATTGAGAAAGGGTCTCGGGAAATCAAGGCCATGAACTTTAGGAGCAGCAAGCAGGAGGACCAGATTAAAGAGGTGCAATATACAGACGATAACAAATAACAGTTATAACAAATTTGATAATCCACCATCACTAAAATCCCTTAAAATGTCATCATAATTATATAAAGGTTGAAAAGGCTATTCTGTTTGAAAGTTTCAGGGGATGTCCCAGAAAATGTTACAAATGGAAAACTTTTGATTGTAACTGACATAACTTGAAACATATTTATCCATCCCCTGAGGTTTTTAGATGGAATAGCACACAATTAAACTGCATCACAATCATGTTTGAGTGCAGTGTGTTGTTTCTCTTTTGTCTGAGTTGGTGTGACAAATTAAAACTCAAGTCACAGTTATTTCAGTCTATATTTCTTTGTGATGTGGAGTCTATATCTGTGTGTGTGCTGTGTGCTTTTTGCTGTAAATTTTCCCAAGCTCATTTAATCAATGCCCAAGCCATGCAGATGAAGAACAACATGACAAAGAAAACTGTCTTTCCTCTTGTAGCTGGAACATCGCACCAAGAGGGATACACGCGAGATCCAATCTCTCAATCTGAAAAATGAAAACCTCCAAAAACAGATTGAAGAGGTATTATAATAAACAGTGTGTCTTGTGTCTGTGTGTCTTTACTCTAATACAAATAGTTACTGTCAAGACTACTTTTACTGCATCGCCAGCGATTTGCAATGTTTCAAATGTAAGAAAAAAAGACAATTGTCATCAAAAGTTAGCAGAACGCTTTTGATGTCAGTTTTCTCCTCTTCCTCTTCTGTCAGCTGAAACAATTTCTGGCAGAGGAGAAGGGAGAAAAGGACCAGAAAACACGCGAGGTCCACGGGCGCGACCAGGATATCAAGCGCAAGAATCGTGAGATTTCAGCCTTGAAAGCCGAGAAGCAGGAACTGGAAACAAAAATAGACGAGGTATCTTAGAAACACAGCAATCAGGACATGTCTAAAATGTTCCTTTAAATTTTTATTTTCTTTAGTTCCTTTGTTGTTATTTTCTTCTTGGAGAAAACAAATCTCCTCTTGACTTAAGCTACCAGACTTCTTGGTTGCTCAAAAAATGCTGTAGAGTTGGCTAAACATGGAGAATAATAACTGGCATATCATTCTCCATATCAGGCCAATTTTTACAATTTTTGCAGCAATCCAAGAAGTTTCATAAGAGACTACAGTCAAACCTGCCCAAGAAGACCACTCAGGGAACAGTGAACTATGTGGCACTGCCTGGACAGGTGGTCACTATAGACAGGATTCTTTATGCTTGTGCCAGTGGGAAAAATTATCTAAGAAGTGGTGACATTGACCAGGTGGTCCTTATGTAGAGGTGGTCACTTGTACAGGTTTGACTGAATTTCTCTCCAATAAGAAATCATGTAAGAAACGGATGTGATCAGTTTGCAGAATCAGCACGATTTTCTCTTCCCCCTCCCCATTTCTCAGCTGGAGCAGCTCCTGAAGCACGAGACCGGCGAGCGCGAACGCGAGACCACGGAGAGTAAGAGTCTGGCCTCGCAGAACATCGAGCTGCGTCGTAAGCTGGAGGACGAGCACGCCAACTACAAGCGCAAGCTGCAGGCGTACCAGGATGGGCAGCAGCGCCAGGCACAGCTCGTGCAGAAGCTGCAGAGCAAGGTGTGTTTTAATTCTTTTTTCCATAATGCCCATCTGCCAAGAAATCGGCAATAACTGCCATGTTTTTGTGGCTAATATGAAATGCAAGGTGTGTTTTAATCCTTCTTATGTTCTCAAGTTACGAAAGTCTAATACTTAGTCACAGAGTTCTTACCAAGAACCAACAAATTACAAAATGTAGATTGGTCTGGCCTTAGGAAAATCTAATACTTTATAGTCTGAACAGTGTTCTCTCCAAGCTGTTTGAATGTATGATTTAGACCCTCTATGCTGTGATTTAGTACCCTACACTGAATTTCAACCCAGCATAGGGGTGTTTCTTTTTTTAGGAGAACCTTATTGCCTTCATAAATCTTTGAAAAATTGAAATTTGACTTAAAAACCAACAAATTAAATTGGTATGGCCTAAGAGAAGAACAACATGAAAGATTTATTGCACATATGTCCAAAGTCATTTCAGTGTACTGAACTTTAACATTTACTAAGCATAAAAAGAATTGTACCTAATGTTTTCCATCCAAACTGAACTGCTGCAAAGAGTCTTTCTCTTCAAAACCATGAAGCGTTGTTATAGAGCTGGAACATGAATGCACAGCCTTGGATGTGTTCAAGTTTGGCGTCTGTTTTCCCTCGTCTTGTTGGTTTCTGTTTTTGTTCTCCGTCGGATCAGACATGGGTCATTGTGGCACGCTTCAAATGATGCAAATCAGGCTTTTATCACGACCCGAGACAGCTTTTCAGAAACTTGTGTTTTCTCAAAACAACATCCCAATGTTCCAAGTGCTTGAGGAAACAGATTGACCTCAGGAGTGACTCTTCTGGCGTCGTCCATGGTTTCACGCGTAATACAAAATGTAAGCAAAATTCTGTTGTAGCTTAGTCTAAATGTTCTGAGGAGAAAACTGTACTCAGATTCAAACCTCTCAGCTGACTGACAGCCTCTCAGGTGGTCCTAGAGTTGCCATGGAGACCAGAATTTATTTACTGTTGCTAGGAGACAGGCTCTCCAGCAAACAGGTGGTTTCTTTGTACATTCTTCAAGCCAGCTGAAGGAAAGGAACAACATTCGACATCTTGTATATTTTCAAGAAGGATGTTTTGAAACGTTGCAGACAAATTGTCGTGACCCAGACATTTCCCTGAAGTATCATTAACTAAGTAATGGACAAATTCATATCTGGAACATGGCACAATACAGAATATTTTGATAAGATAAGATAGAAATGTTTTCCTTGGCACCCGGAATGCTTGCACAAGCTGATCGAAATGCATGCAAGTGATCTAATTAATTACCTCGGCAACTGATAGCAAATTTGCAGAGCAACGGCAGCTTTCACAAAAAATATTTTCAAAAACTCAATGTCCTTAAGAAATACTGAGTCTTCAGGTAGTTGCACTGTCCTGTCAGTACTGTGTCTGGTTTTGAGGTATTGTTTTCTGCTGTACATACATGTAACCTCGTGATTCAGTAATACCACGAGTAAACTTTCCTGAAGTAGCCTTTTGTATCAAAGCATCAGCTGGTTGCACGTGACCCGTGTTTGAAAAGATCCTGGTCGGTAGAATGTCAAAGGTCACTGTTCAGTGGACACATGTGATTCCAGCAAAAAAGGGGGTTGAATGAGGACAAGTTGGAAGGCCTGCCTCCCCAGTGTTCAAGGTCATTCCATGTTTGCTGTGTGTCATTTTTGAATTACGAATTTCAACAGTTGCTAAGATATTAGTCAGAGGTAGGGCTTGGTATGAAGAAAGGGTGGAAAGAATATTCAATTTCCGTACTCAATCGTAAGGTGTTGTTTCAAGCTCTACTTTGGATGTACATTTGTATACTTCCATGTTTTTCTTTATTTCTATTATTATTTCACCATGTAAGAATGTGCTTTTTACGTGTAGTAAGCGGTATTGTCTGCAAATTTGGAATTGTGAGAATGTTTGTAGCAAGGTGATAAAAGTTTGTGGTGGAGTCACTCGGACACTCTCCTTTGCTTGACAGAAAGGAGAAACAGGAGTTGAGAGTATTTTTGTGTAGTGTTGAAGACTGGAGTACTTCACAGGGAAGACACACCTCTACACTTTGGCAGGTTGTTGTGTCTAGCAGTTTTCCATCGTGATCTGGAGCAAGTCAGATGTAGACAGTCCTCCTGACGTCGACAGCGTGCTTTCGTCTTGAACTTGAAGACTCCTTATACATTCCTTTAAGGTGCTCACAGTGTCTGTATGTATCATACTGCCTTCAAGTTTATAAAAAATGGATGACTCTTGAAAAATAGTTCATAGTAGGCAGAGTCAATTACCATTTAATTTTTGTACATTTTTCCCAAGTTTTTGCCCTTCTGTGTGGTTGCCCAAAAGCTGTGAGTCACTGTAATTAAACAAACTTTGGTTGATTATTACTGAAGGGATTTGATGTATACAGTATCGTCCATGTACTATAATTGATCCCAAGTGGCTTGATGCCATAAATTTTACAAGATTTTGAAAGCCCGCCAAAAATCTGGTTGATTTGGCTTCCTACATTTGCTAAACAAACAGGACACTTGTTGACGGTTAGATAGGGTTGTTTGTGGTGTGTTCAATAATTAATGAGATGGTGCTTCAAATCGTTGACCACTCAGGCTATCTTAACTCTTCTTAAGCTTGTTCATAAGCAAATTATATCCAACCGAAAACAGACTTGAAGCAGACACACCTGTTAACATGAGTCAAGTTTGACATCAAACAGTAAGTTCAAGTCTACGAAGACTCCTGGGACATTGTGAGTTTCACCCTATTTGTAACGGTGAGCCAGACAGTTTAGCAGTAATCCTACCCAGGCCTAACAAAACGCCAGCTTGCGGGTCAGCGTAATGCGATACGCTAGTCTGCGCCGTGCTTTCTACCCTCCCGCTCTTCACACGGCTGCAGCGTAAGTTCTTGCCGCCCCCCGACATGTTCCCGGGAACAGCGTACTGTCCTGGTCTTCCCTCTCAAACTCCGCACTGGCGATGTGAGTGACTCCTCCCGATGGATTCAGTGAAATGTTTGTAACTTGCTTCTGTTGTTATTTGTGATACCAGGTGGTACAAGATAACTGTCACCTGCCAAAATTGTTTTGTAGTGGGCGGGGAGTCCTTTCGAAGGACGTACGAGAGCACGGCACTTGTATAGGGCCGCTTGTTAAGTGGTCTTTCAGTCTATTGTTCCCCCCGGACAGTACCTAATTTTACAAGCCAAAGTCGGCCACGTTTTCCCATCAATGGGCAACCAGCAGTCCGTTACACTAAAGACAGGAGACCTTTTGAAAGGACAGTTAGGATTGGGCCGGACGACACAATAGGTGATGTTGCCTCAGCACCGGCTCCGTGGTAAATGTTCTGCCCAGTGTTTGCCATGCAAATGGGAGGGGCTGGCCGGCACCAAAGGGGGGACGCTACCTTTTCATTTACCGTGAGCCAAAGTTTGTGAAACGGTTGAGTGGTGCAGGGTGGCCGTCACCCCGGGTTTTTACTCCAGCCGTCCGGGGATAATACCGCGATGTAGCAACGTGCTCGCTGTTGTTACGGACAGTTTGGCGGAAACTTGATAGCGCGAGCAACTAGCTTCTATTTTGGGCCACTTTGGGGCAGCTTGAATGAAGATCTAGGTTGCAGGAGCAACCCAAACAGTGTGTGGTAAGGTTCAGTGTTCAGTTTCACTCGCCCTCCCCACCTGTTAGAAAGATGGAACCTTGCCATCTGTACCTCCAAGTCTCAAATTTCCTTGTTCTGACTTGAGGATAGGCGTGCCTGAGGGCAGGACGCCTCTCCTACCCGGGAAAAGTCTGCTTGCGCTTGATTGACAGTTAATGGGTTTAGGGTATCAGGTAACAGGCAGGTAGAGCTCGTCCGGGGGACAGGTATGTTCTGCGGACAGCGTGCGTGTTGTGGAATCTCCAGTCACCTGGAACCTCAGGGTGACAGATAGCGTCCCTAGCACTATTGTCAACCCTCCCGCCTAGCAAGTATGTGTGGCCAAGGATAGGTGTGGATATTAGTGAAAGGGTAATTACTGAAAGAAGATTTCCAGTTACTGTAGTGGTCTGAAGAGGATTTGGGGTTGGAGGTTTGTGTTCTCTTGAGATGTTTGTTTTGTGATTACCTGGGATAGTAGCTAGTTCTGTTTGTGTCGTGTGCCTGTGGGCTTAAAAGTAGAAACATCGAGGACTCAACAAGATCATTTCAAACAGTTAAAGGTGGTTTTCATCCATCACTAATGACATCTGTCTTGTGAGTTGAAAAGGTATTGACTGACAGTAACAAAATCATTGAGCACAAAATCATTGTGAAGACAAGAGTTTGGGTTTCATTCACTGCAAAAACACTTGTGGTGACCTGTTAGTAAAAGGATATTTTGTGTTATCTGTTTTGACTGACACTCAGGAATCAGGTATCAAAGTACCAAATTGTGCAAGGCACTAATGTGTGTGTACCTACATGTAGGTGCTCTTTTTGATTATGCCATGTCAATTATGAATACCCGTGTTTGCTTACTCTTTCTATAATAAGTACTTTTGTCCAAGAATGATTAACTCTCAAGTAAGAAATTGACATCTGGGCACATTACAGTACAAGAAGTATGTAAAACATTGTTGCTGTACAACCTCGCAAATTTGTTTCTCGTAGCAACAAAGTTCTTCTGTTACATTCCCCAAATTTGTTACACCTGAGTACAGGCCCTTTGCAACAATGGATCGTGTGTTCCAAAACAGTGGATTTCTTGTAGGCTAAATTGTATAGTCTTGACATTAACTCCTATGCTTAACTTCCTTCTTGTCTTAATGACGGATTCCAACACTATTTACATTGGATAGTTAAGGCTGCACCAATTTGATATTTTGTTTCTCCGAGTCCGTAGTTTTTTTTTTAATATATCATTAAAACAAAGCTTGAAGACCAGGTTTATGCCTTCTTGATGCATTCAGTTTTATAGAGTGAATACAATCATATTCATTTCGTTTTCCTTAGGTCCCTACTCTCTGCTTTTATGATGTTAGCTTGTTGTATTTTTGCTTTAAAATGTCACAGAACCAAGGAAATATATTATTAACGTGGCCTAAGTGGGTCTATCACATTACGCGGATGATTAAACATGTTCTCTCCTGTGTTGGCAGGTCCTGCAGTACAAGAAGAAGGTTGGTGAACTTGAGACGTCCATCAGCGAGCGCGAGAAGGAGAGCGAAGCTGCCAAGTTCGACGTAAGTCTCGCAAGAGGCGATGTAAGTATGCTCAGGGTTTTTCCCAGCCAATGGGAGCACTGTCTGCAGCCTCTGGCACATGACTGGCAATAGCATCAGCAGAGAAAGTGATGATGTAGCCAAGAAAAGTCATCATGTCATAAGCTTAAACTTAAATTTCCAAAACAAAGAATTGTACTTACCCAAATTTTCGACTGTACAACTCCAGTCTTTCTCGTGGAATGAGCAATCCACCACTTCTGTGACGTCACATTAAGCAGATGACATGTGACTCGGTGAGCAGAGGATCGCAAATTGCAGAAAATGGTCGACTGCAAAATTGATTATTTTCTTGATAGAAACTGTCAGCAGTACTGTATGCTCATCAAATTTTCCCTTTAACTTAAGTTGCCACAAAAGATTGTCTGCCAAGCAGATGATAAAGTTTGCTTGTTGGCTTCTCTAAAGCTTAAAATTCAAGGAACAGGCAATGAGTTGTTACAGTGATAAAGCTGGATGTTGGATGCATCTTTGATGAAGTTGTTGATTTCTGTGCCCTGTGGAAGTTCGGAGTTACGCATTACAACTTTCTCTGCTGTGCTGGTGTCTCAGTGTACGAAAAGTGGCATTTGACAGTGCTTCTGGCAACGTTTTGAGGCACACATCATTAAAATCTTCACCAGCAAGAAAGCAGAGTGGTGATTGGCTGCTGCTTTGTAATTTGTAGCAAATAAGCTGCATATCTTATCCAATAGTGCCTCTGGTTTTGGTGGTGGTTTGGGCACAACTGCGCCGCTTTTATTCTTCACTCTGTTGAAAAATGAAGCATATCCTTTGTCAGAGATTGTCATTGCTGCATATAAAAATCCTTTGTCAAAATCAGAATGTACCTCAAAAGGTAATTCACAAAAGATTCCTATTGGATCACTATATTCAGTAATAAATTGGCCACATTTTTATAAGTGCCCTACTACCAGGTTTTGAGGAAAACCCTGGGTTACTTACTATTTTTTACCATTTTGCATTTTCATAATCTACCAAATTTTACGTTTATAACCAAGTACCTGTTTTCTAGTTTTCTGATTTGTTATTTTCACTTTAGTCTAACAGCTTTTGATTCAGATCTTTATCAACTTATTTTTTACCCTAATGTCTGCCCTTTTTTTCTAACAATAGAAATAGCTGCAGTTCAATGTTCTCTAAGTTTGGGATGCTTTCTGTGTGTATTTTCTCTGGCTTTGCTCATACTCACTGCTGTACATTTGACTCTTCCTTCTAATCTAATACTGCGTGGTTGATTCTAGTTCAGGAAGAAGGTTACTCGGGTAAGTACAGTCCTGTAAATTCAGTACATGTTGTTGCTGTTTTTCATTGTCTCCATTGAAGGAAAGTAGAAATCAGAAATATTACAGAATGATACAACATGTTTTTCAACTACATACAATGTATGTGTCTACAGGGCTTGAAATACCTTTTTACTGTATACGTGTGCACTGGTGCACCTGCACATGTTAGACAAGTTTTACCTCCACCACTCAGTCAATTTAAATGTATGGCTCATACTGAAAACTGTTCAGAAACCAGTGCCATTGACTGTTGAAAGTGGCCGCATCCAAAATTAGCTTGCTTGCAGGCAAATTTACCTTCAATATTGTTCCGTTAAACTAGTTTGTCTAAATCAGTAAATGTCAAAAATGTCAACCAAAGTGCATTGACTTCATGGTATGAAACTTTACGATCAATCCTTGTTTGTTGACCCAAAGTTTTCACATTAACTGTATAGTCATTGATATCGATTATGAAATGGTTTTGTTCCCCGGAACTATGTCAGACTGTGTCAAGGCAGCAGTTTTCTCAGTATACTTAGCAGGTTCAAGATGCCGTGTACACACTCTTTATCTGGAGTGATATTTGTTCCTTCCATTTAGTGCCTAGCTGTTGTCCAGCTGACAGAAATGTCAGAAACGTCTGGCATCCCTCGACAGGACGTGTACGTCGTTGCCTGGTAAATGTGCAGGAAAGTCAGAAATGTGCACTTCACTCCCTCTGGCTGCAATGAAGATATAGCCTCTTGTGCAATTGTTTGCAAAAAATCTTGACACAGAAGTTGTTCTTGTATTGAAGTCACTTATCACTGGCAAAACAAGGAAACTGTAAACTTTGAGCAACAAAAGCACGACTGATAATAATTTTAAGAGAAAGAATTGCTAGCCTCTATTCAGATATGCCAAAAACCCTTTAAGTTATCAGAAATACAAGTACACTCCAGCCTGAAAAGTCCCTACCTTTATTGAATAAAGCTCAGACATGTCTGATACCTTATTTGGTCAAATACCCACACGTGAAAACTCCCAAGTACAAGGTTCAAGTCCTAGAGCAGTCCACAGTGTTATTTTCAGTCATGTACATATCATAAAAGCTATGTAAATCAATCACCTCTCAAAGTTAGAATGAATTTGGCTGCCAGTTCAGTATTTGTTAAAGGCTTTGGAAGGTAGGTTTTATCTTATAGTAATAATGTATGACCTTGAATTGGAGTAGTATTGAACCTACCTCTTATCTTGATCCAGTACAAACTTATAATGTTCACCTTACATTGTTTGGATAGTGCAATTTCATCAGTGTTTTTTTGTGGAATATTCCATATGACTTGTCATGATGTACAGTTCAATTACGATAGAGGTTTGGGTGAAAACCTGACCTAAAAATTGGCCTGCTAATCGATGTTCGGCGCTATTTTGTTTACCAAATTCTATTGACTCTGTGCAATTGTAGCATTCTACTATGAGTCCATGTTTTCAATATATGAACTGAACCAACCCAAATGACTGCCTCTCCAGCCATTGCCAAGTGACATATTGACACATCTGTTGACGATACGTCAAGTTTGTGTGCAGAAGTACAACTGATTGCACGTTAAACATTTCAAAATCTAACGGACAAAGTAAAAAGGCCGAGATTTTTAAAACCATGTAGCAGTGGCCACCATGAGTTGCCGTAGGAGATTATGTTCACCCTCCTAACGTTCCTTTCTCAAGCTCTACCTCAACCAAAGGTTAAGTTTTATTCATATTAACTGTTTGATACATGTATGTAGTAACTGAATGCCCTATTGGCACTAAATTTGCTTTAGAGTTGTAAGGGTTAGATAGTGGACTGATAGTATGTTTTCAGCTTTTTTTGGCAACATAAGTGGCATGTTTTATTTATGATACTGAAGGAGCATTTAGACATTAATGTAATAACACTGCATTTGTAGCATAGTGAGAACTCCCCAAGATCTTCCTGTTATTCCAATTTTCTAAAAAAGAACAATGAGAATTGGGCTTAATTGGGTGTGTCCTGAAGTACCTGGAATATTTTGTCAGTATGAATTTTTAAAGAGGAAGGAAGAAGAATGGAGAATGGCAGCTGTTTGGTCATCATAAGGGGGAGAGAGAGTGGTTATAACCCTTGAACAGACACAAAAAATCAATTTGGCAGTGTTTGTAATGAGATAAGAACATGGATGCTGTTCCAGACACAGACATAGTTTGTCTTATATCTAATCTCTATGGTCTAAGAAGGATTTTTTTTATGACAACTTACTTCAAGCTTTCATTCAGGAAAGGAGACGAAGGCTGATTTTCACCATGTTTTGAAAAGATGTTGCTATAATGCGCACTTTCATTTCTATCTACTTTCTATAATCATTGGAAACGGTTAAATCTTGATTTGTCAGGATTGTAATGGTAAGATTGGTGTTTCAGTTGGAGTCTACCCGTGACAACTTGTCTCGGTCGCTGGAGACGTCAGAAGCCCGTCTGCGTGCCAGCGAGGAGGAACACAGCATGGATCTGGAGAACGCCTTGATCAAGCTGGAGGAGGAGCAGCAGAGGTAATATTATCTTTTAGACTGATGAGGCTCTTCCTTATATGTGAACAGCACACTGTTGCATTACTTAAATGATCTTCCAACTGCAGTTTGCCTTTAGTACAAGAGTGAAAATATTTCATGGGCAATACCCAAAAAAAATAGAGATGCCTCACAAGCTCATTTTGGGGCTACTGTTACTAGTATTTCAAACGCTTCAAGTATGAAAAGTGTAAATTATATATTCTTGGTGAACGGTTGCTTCCCTGATGTTGCACTTAATGCCATTAACAACTTGGTTCTCAATTTCTCATCACGTGTTGTACCTGTTTGATTGACAGGAGTGCTAGCCTGGCCCACGTGAACGCCATGTTGCGTGAGCAGCTGGACCAGGCCACGCAGGCCAACCAGCAGCTGACCGCCGACATCCAGCGTCTGACCCAGGACTGGACCCGAGCCCGCGAGGACCTGGAGAACAAGGAGGCTGAGTGGAGGGAGGAGGAAGCCGTGAGTACCGCCATTTTACTCCAGCTCAAATTTGTCACTAGTACATGTAGCAAACGTAGTCCAGTGGTATACATGTAGTAACCCTGCTTCTGAACCAAGAGGTTGGGAGTTCAAATCTCACTCACTCGATATTCACACTACAGTAACTGTAAAGGGTCACTGTCCTTAGGACAATGAATTTGTAAATACATGTACTGTACATAGAGTCTGTCTTTTCTGTCACGACCAGTTCTTCAGTGAGCTAGTTTAAACTGGATCGAGATCACTTTCTTTACTTTTTTATTTTGTACCCAAAAGTTCTACATTCATCAGTGACCGTCAATGATAATCATTCCGTATGCTTCTCTCGCTGCTCAGTCCTTCAACAGCTACTTCAGCCAGGAGCACGGTCGTCTGCTGGGTCTGTGGCGTACGGTCATGTCGCTGCGCCGCCAGTTCGCTGAGGTCAAGTCGGCTACCGAGAGGTGAGCTTGAGCAATTTGTACTCTTTTTGGGACTGAGACTGATCTTTTTTCACATGAAAGCTGTAATAAATAAAATTGTCCCATCACTAGAAAAGCATGCTGTTCTGCCTTTGGGTGCAAGCAGGGTTGTATCATGCTGAAATGGTAAAAAATGTACAATCATGCATGTATATCTTACCTGTTTGTATTCACAAAAAAGATCTGTACTTAACATAATGTGTAAATTCTGTTTGTTTCTTACACAGGGACATGTCTAGCATCCGTGCAGACATGACGCGGTCCTCTCGCTCGCTGCACTCCGCCTGTCTGAACCTGCAGGCCAACACCCGCATGGCCGACTCCACCACGTCCGTACAGCTGGACAAGGAGCGCGCTGACCGCTCCGACCTGGAGAACCAGCTGCGCGAGAAGGTGAAAAATTGAAAATTCATGCCCGTGAACGAATTGTAACATACAATGTATACAACATACATGTACATTCAAGTGAAACAAGGGACTATTCTATACATAGAACAAGTGACTATTCTATTCAGAACACAATCTAAACTTTTTGGGGGGTACTTTGACTTCTTTTTTGGAAGCTGTGGAAGATGAAGTTTTCCACTTTTTCTACAGGTTTGAAGAGGTTAAAATTGATAAGGATTTTAGCAATTTATTCCAATAATGTTTTATTATAATACTGTTTTGAAAGCGTGTTGTACCAGTAGTACAATAATGTATTTTAATGATACCTAATGTTGACCACAGTGCAAGTAGTAAGGTTGCTTGCAAGTCTGTTGTCTGTGTGTACTGTGTATTCCATATATTATATATTTTCAATTCTGAATAAACCATTCATTCATTCAATCATTCATTCCAGGTGAAGGAGGTGATCACCCTGCAGAGCCGTCTGGACACGGAGCGCTCGGACCTGAGCGGCCGGATCAACGAGCTGTCCGTGCAGAACGAGCGCCTCAAGCTGCAGGTCAGGGACCTCAACAAGACCATCGAGGGCCTGGTAAATAACTTCTACACTCTTCTGTCAGTTCTAGACGTTGCAGTGTGCATAGTAGGCTATGGCTGTTGTAACATGTGAATTTCTTGGAATGATCCTCGGGCTTTGAGCCATGCTAGCTTAGGTTTGGTTCTCTGAAGACCATTAGTAACCAAGTCGTTCTCCTGTGCCCCTCCAGGAGACCAGCCGCGCCGAGGCCACCCAGGAGCTGGAGCGGTCCCAGGCCGAGGCTCTGCGGGACGAGACGGAGGCTCTGCACCAGGCTCTGCGCGACATCGCCAACGTGGTCATCACGGACGCGGACGGCGCCGGGGAGAAGGACGACGACACCATGGCTGACGCTGACCTCAGCCTCAGGTACACTTCTCAGGCTTTCAGAGTTCTGTTTCTTCAGTGTTCTTTCACCACATGATGTGAAGAAACTGGGGGTATTTTGAGGCAAATTGGAATTTACCCGAGCCTGAGGTATAGAGTCTTTTGAAGGTCTGTTTTCTCAATGTTCTTTCACTCTGATAATCTATGAAGAAACATTGGGGATTATTTTGAGGCAAACTGGAATTTACCTGAGCTTGAGGTATGCAGTCTTTCCAAGCTCTGTTTCAGTCTTCAATTTCTTTCACTGTCTGATATGAAGAAACATTGGAAACATTTTGCTGCAAACTAGAGTCTCTTCTCAGTATTTACACAATGTGTCTTTCAGAATAATTTTTTATTCTTTCACTATATCTGACATGAAGAAAGATATTGGATATTTTGCTGCAAACTGGATCTTTGTGATTTTGCTTCATTTCTTTATTGCTTCTTTGATTCTTGCATTTCAATTTTTCATGGTACAGTGTTTCCTGTTTGAATTTCACTCTTGAGATTGGGAATCGGTCCATCTGCCTTCTTGTCAGTTATTTTCTTGCCTCTGTTTTTTTTTGCTGTCTCCTCTTCCCTTATATTGCTGGGGTGTGTGATGCCTGTGTAGGGCAGTAGCCTGGGAATCCTGGAGATTCTTCAACAGGCTCACCATACAGTAAGTCTCCCTCTCCCACACCTCTGTTTGCTCTGCTTTCCTTCCTACTGTTTCCCATGAGCTTCAGATGGACATTTCAAGATGAAGAATGCATTGGGCTGCATGGCAACAAAACTTTTCTTACCATACTCTTTTTACTCTCATCGCATGACATGCATGTTTGAAGATGTTACGAAAAGTGGATTTCGTTTCAGTTTAACTACCTTTTTGTTCATGTTCTACATTTTTATTATACCGCTCTGTGGCAAAAAGCACAGCTTTCAAAGATTATTAGACTATAGAGGCTGCGGATTGCAGCTGTATAATAATCAATCCTTAGAATTGTTTTGCTTAAGTGAAAAGTTTCATTACAGGTATATACTTTAAGATATGTTCAGAAGAAATGTCACAGATACCATATTCAGCAGAAGTACTATTTTAAAACTGGGTATACTGTACTTCATGTTGGCTGTTGACTAATTTTATGTTTGTTTGTTTGTTTGTTTTCCACAGGTCCACCTCTCCCAGCCGTCTGCGCAGCCCGTCTCCGTCTCGGCGCTCCCCGAGCCGTGGACGGTCGCCAGCCCGTACCTTCTCTCCCGCATTTGCCGAGTCCACCCTGGGCGCCGTGCAGGCTGCGCTGCAGAAACGGCAACTCCAAGTCCAGGTACGGAAAACACAACCAGTCTTAGACATCTCGTGTCAAATATACTAGACATCACTGGATACATGTACATGTATACACATAGCTTTCAATGATGTTTAGAATTAGATTGTGCAAGGGTTAGGTGTAACAAGTCATTTGGTGTAAATTAAATATAGCCAGCTGCTGCCATGCTGCCAAACATATAAGACAATTACAGTACTATAATCATTTTCTACATTATGATGATGCAAAAAATCCACCGGAGGATGACAGTCCTTCATTTATTTATTTCCATGGAAACTAGTATGCTTGCATTCTACAAGCAAATTCTCATTGTTAAACCATTGAATGGAAAGGTGGCAATTTAAAATCCTTTAACTTTGGACAGAATGAAAAGCCATGAAAGGAATGCGTGTACTTACAGTAATTGTGCAAGTAAATTTGTGGCATTTCCTCTATCAAGGTCACCTGTATTGAGGACAGGTCCCGCGGGAGGTGATTACATGTGTACTCTGGCGTAAAAAGCCGTGCATACAATATGTATATGGTTAATAATAGCCTGGTGCATCTTCTGGGACAGTGACTTTCTACGCAGTCTACAGCTGTCATTACTGCTTACTACATGCATGTCTAGGCTACTATGTAACACAATTTTCTCGCATGGAAAAAGTGTGTTGTGAAATTCGCAGTGAGTAGTGAAAGATTTTATTTGCAAGAAAACTTTAAAACGTAGCTACCCAGAAGTGGCCAATTTCATGATTGATTGATCATTGCACAGTTATTCCTTTGGGACCTGCATCAGGTATATATAAGATGGTATCTTTGCTGTCCTTGCATTTTTGTTTGGTGCTTAGCTAACCCTTTGCGGTAGCCCTAGAATGTGCTAGCAAACAGCGTAACTGTAAGATGTACATGCTATGATATGAGCAACATTGCGGTAGGCCTATGATGTGCTAGCAAGCAGCATAACTATAAGGTATACAATGATACGAGCAACATCGCTGACACACTGTCACCTGGTTATACAGGAGCTGAGGGCCAAGCTGAACGCCCAACGAGACCAGGGCGGCTCGCTCAAGAAGCAACTGGACGATGCCGACAACGAAAGGAGGCGTCTTGAGAACGAAGTCCTGTCTTACAAGGAGAGGCTGGATGCAGCGTAAGTAGTCAACATTTTATACTTGAAGCATTTGAAATAGCCCTAAAACAAGTTACATTGTATGTGAGAAGTCCCTTTATTTTGGGTTACCGCCAATAAAAACAGCAGCTAGAAACTGTCTGCAATACAAAATAAGCAACCTTATTCTGTCTGCGACACTGCATTTTTGTGTGATACAGATATCAGTATGCTATATGATATGGTTGATTCGACTTACTACATTAAAAAAATTCAAAAATCCAGTTTTACTGCCCTGAAATAGCTTTGGGTGAGAAGTGTGTTGCAACATTTCCCTGTGTTGGTCACTTGAAGGACTTATTTGGTTTTATCGGAGTGTGTACTAATTGCTGTAAAGTTTCAGCAAAAGCCATTGTGTGCAGGAATGTGCAACAGATGAAATATTCAATGCTTTGGGTTAGGGTATGTTTTGTTGTTGTGACCTTGACTTTTTCGGCGATGCTCAAAAGATGAAATATTCACAAGGAGTTCACGTCAGGTTATTAATCAGGATGATTCCTCAAAGAAGAGAGGAAAGTTGTGGTCTATCTATAGACTTGCTTACAATTCACCTTTCATGAAATACATGGTTTTGCCTTTTTTTCTGTCATTTATCAATTGGATCAAGGTTCTTTTCAACAAAGAAAGGAAAAATTTTTTTTTACATGGATAGGATATTATGTGAAAAAAATAAGGTTTGCTATCAGAAAGTTTGGTGAAGTAATTGGCGATATTGATCTTTTAAGAAAGTTTTACAATGAAATATATTGTATCTGAGCATGAATGTACATAAAAGGTCTTTGATTCATTCATGCAATGACTAATGGCTTTTGTAATTACAGTTCTCGTGCCAAGGACGATGCAGTCCGCGACTCTAACCGGTTCAAGAACGCCCTGGACCTGACGGGCAGCGAGAAGTCTGCCCTGGAGTCCATCCGCTCCTCCCTGAACGAGGAAATCGAGGCCTTGAACGCCGAGAACCAGAAACTCCAGGCCGCCAACGCCGACCTGCAGCACCAGAGGGACAGTCTGGAGGACGAGAAGGACGATGTCATCAAGGACAAGGAGCGTGGGCAGAAGGAGATCGAACGATGGTAAGAAACTGACTAAGGAGTTAACATTTGGAACATCTTGGAAAGTGTACGACAATTTTATTAGACCTAGGAAAATATGTGTCATGTCCTCGGTTACAGTCCTTAACAGAATAGTGTTGGTAGAGATTGTCTTTTTTTCTTCTTTTCTAGATTTCAGCTGAACTGGTCCAACAAATATAGTTTAGCAAATTGATCTAAAACTGAAATGTATCAGAACTACCCCTCAGTTTGCTTCTGGGACAAATATTTCATCTGATTGACTCAATACATTGTAAGAATTTGCTATTGAAAATGCGTGAAATAACATCTCACAGAGTTTAAAATTCAGATGTCAGATCAAAAATTTTTGTCAAAGATGTCTGACAGACAACAAAACATTAGAAAGTGAGAGACGTACTCATAAATGTGGAAGAAAATCCCAATATCTGACAAGCCCTTCATACCTCGTGTCCCATTTTTCCTCAGCAACCGTGTGCAGGAGCAGATGGAGATGAAGAACTCAGCTCTGCGTGAGGAGACGGTCACGCTGAAGGAGGCTCTGAACCGAGCTATCCTGGAGAAGGAGGTGCTGGACCAGGAGAAGGCAGAGATTGCTGAATCTCTCTCCAAGGTACAGTGTAGTACATGCATGTGTACAATCAGCAGTGCTCTAGCCTGTGTCAATCTTTCTATCATTTGTCACTCAAGATGGACAAAAATTTTGCCCATTGGCATAAGAAATTGAAACTAAGTTATACAGGTAGAAAGAGATATTTGTCAACTAATCTTAGTCTACGAGCAACATTTGACTGTGAAAGTATACAGGAAATAGTGTATCAGAAGGTCAAGATTTCAAAATCTCAACACAATGCCTTGTGTTTTCTGATAATTGTAATATATACACCAGTGAAGCCATTGAAGCCAAGGCTTTATCATTCTGCAAAATTTGACGCAATTTCTTTTTGAATCACCAGGTGGAGCTGCAGCGTGCTGAGCTGGAGCTAGAGATCAGCAAACTGAAGACGGAGGAGGCCGGCCTCAGGGACTCACTGCTCAAGATGCAGGCTCTCAACGAGGGCCTGGGACAGGTAAGAATTTGCCAGAATGTCCTTATCTTAACTCTTTGCAATTCAATTTCTCACAACTTAAGCATAACGTTGGGTTTCCAACATACGTGTCTATTTTGAGAAGACACGTTAGAAGATGAACACTCAACTGAAATCTTTTCTCTATCAGATTATCCTACTAGAAAATTCACATGTTTGTGTATTGAATTTGAAAAAATGTTTTTTCTGCTAATTTTACCAAAATAAAGAGGTTGAAGAGAAACTCAGTTCATCTTGTAGCTGATGGGATATCCTTCCTCTGTTACTCTGGTTCTGAATTAACCTCTGGCTAGACTGGAAGTTGTGCAGCCTCCAATATGCAAAATGAAATGGGGTGTGCCACCGAAATTGTTTACCTGTTCCATTGAACAATCGTCAGAACAACATGAGCTAAACTTGTCGTCATTTTGTTGTCCCAGGACAAGATCGAGCTGAACAAGATGATCATGCAGCTGGAGGCTGAGAAGGCCTCCCTGATGGGAGAGAAGGGAGAACTGGAGCAGGAGAAGTCCAGCCTCAAGGACGAACTGGTCAAGACTGAGCAGGAGAAGATGGAGGTTGAGAACATGAAGAGCGGTGAGTAGCAAACAGCTAATCTCCTAGCAGATATTTGACGGTAAGAGCATTACTGTCAGAAATGGCCATGTAGAGAAGGTCCTAAGCCACCCAGCCCAAATGTGGCCAATGGTAACTGTCTGGCAAATGGATACTACCTGGCCAATTTGATACACCGTAGTAAGTTGAATCAACTAATATGTCCCATAGCATATTGATAGATATCTGTGAGGCAAAAATGTGACATCATTGATGATAGTTTCATATTGAAGGCTGGTTATTGGTGATACAAAAAAGAAAGAGACGCATCACATAGCTTGAGTTTTACAAAAATGTGCTAAAAAATGGCAATAAATGTCGGACTTCCTCATCCATTATATTTTTTGTATTGCCTCCCTGAATTATTGCATTGGATCCCTTTCCTAAGACTTTCCTGTTGTTTCTACAGGCCTGGACCAGTCACTGGTGCTGACAGAACAGACCAGGGAGAAGCTTGAACAGGACCTCATGTCTGTCCAACGGGAGAAGGCTGAGATCTCTGAGCAACTGTCTCAGGTAAGATCAGGAAATAAAGTGTTGAAAATTCTCTGACATGGGAGGATGGCATTAATTTGGTCGGGATGCATACAGCAGTTAAGGAATGAGCTTATTCTTTTATAGCCATATTGTCAGGATTTATCTCTTGCAATTAGATATTACTACTAACAGTTCTTGAGTTATCTAGAAGTTTGACTTCACTAGTGTACACTGTCCAGTCATCATCATCATATCAGGCTTACAGTATATTACAAATAATAATTTGAAAGGTCAGCACTATTACAATATTTATGATTCAGGAGGTTTACCATTAATAATAGTATGAAATAGTTGCCAAAAGTTATGAAATATTCAATATTCCATTTACAGACGACACGCCACAAGAACGCGCTGGCGGAGGAGCTGCTGCAGTCTCGGCGTGAGGTGGAGAGGCAGAGCGACACCGTGGTCCGCGTCGCCAAGGAGAAGGAGGAACTGACCAAGGAGAAGGCCAACCTCGTGGTCCAACTGACCGCTGCCGAGCGCGAGAACAGGGCTCAGGTGGGCTTTTTTTTTTATTTACTTCACTTTTTACCTCAAAACAAGGCTCATACAAACCACTTTTACATGTTTTGGGTTGAAACTGTAGAGGCAGATGTTTGTTCACCCTGGACTTGAAAAGTATATGGTTGTACCCATTTGAGAAGCATTCACAAGGAAGCTTGTTCCATAGTGATGTGAGGGCTTTCTTCTTTTTAACATTCAGCATCCTAAGGTAGCTGTTTGGCACCAAATTTGTATTGGTTATTGGATTAGGCAGCAGAGAAAGGTTACAAAATTGGGTTTTAGGACTGTCAACCAACTGCAGTCAGAAGCAACATTAAACGGTCTTGTCTTATTTTACATACAGTACAATTTTACATACAGTACTGTTTATTTCTCAAATTTGAAGGAAAAGTCAGACAAATTATTTGTATCAGAAGAAAAATACAGGCTGGCCTGAGAGGCTCTAACTTGAAGGTAGTCCGTCCTGAGAAAGCAACATTGAATTCCAACCATAAAAAGACCACTGTTACAGTTCATTGTAACGATACTTACAGTCAATGCCTGTGTGTGTGTGTGTGTGTGTGTGTGTGTCCTTTCACAACCACTGAACTTCCTGACTTAACAAAAATGTTAATGAGAAAGAAGAATTCATAGAATGACAAAACTGTAATTTATCCTATTTGCTGAGTAATTGATATAGGCAGGTATAATATATAACAGTTAAGTAGCACAGTAAATGTTCTAGTCAGAGACTTTTTAACTTCGTTGTGATAAGTTGTTCACAGTTTCCCTAGTTACAAC